CTGTTTCCTGCCTACGCAGGGGGTCGGACTTGATGATCTATTGAGGTCCCTTCTGACCCTAACAGCTATGAATCTATGAATACAGAATTATCTGATACATGGAAAACTTACTGGCAATATCTTGTCAGTATTACTCCTCCTCCTTACACTGGGTAATACCTTACTTCAGGAATATTTAAATTAACATGTACAAATATGTAGAAATTTCATTTTCCATTTTGCATGGCTATACTTATGGTAATTTTAATAAGGATGGCATATGCAGCTGCAGACCTCAGCTGCAGACTTTCCATCCCAGCTGTGAGACTTCCCATACTGGTGACATCCCAATAAGGTATTTGTTAAGAGGAGGCTGGACAAATGCCTCGTTGAGCTCATTTGAACCCAGTTACCTCCTGCCCATGGTAGGGGACTGGATTTGATGATCTTAAGGTTCCTTCTGGTCCTTCTTTCTATGATTCTATCTTATTGGGATGCCACCAGTATGGAAAGTTTCACAGCTGGGATGGAGAGTATGCAGCTGTGGGCAGTGCTGGCTGCCTTGAGTAGTGGGGGCAGACCCTCCTAGACATGCAAATCAAATGTGGATACTAACCAGCTATAAAGTTAGTGTACATTTTCAAGGTATAGCTTTATAGCTGGTTGGACTGTTTAATGGCATGAATAGGTACTTTGCACATGTAGCTGGTTTCAGTTAATCACACAATTAATCAGTTAATTGCAGAATATCTGTAATTTGTAGAGGGGGCCTTAGTGTATTAATTACTTCAAATAAATGAAATCTCTAGTACCTTCTCTTTTCACTTAAGTCACTTAACCATGCAGGTCAGTCATGCTACACAAATGCAAAAACCCATGTGCTGGCACAATAGTGTACTCACAGAAGGCATGACATTGACACATCCCTTCAAAATCATGCTGCAGAAACTCAGCTTTAGGGGGTTTTACTTAACTTTTAATCCAGTGTAGTTTGCCAAGAAACCTTCCAGATGTACAAACAGAATGTAAAGAGACATAGCAATATGTGCCTTTTTCTGCAGGAGCCTGAAACGATAGGTCTCAGAGGCGAAGCAACAGTACTGAGAGTTTTTCCTGTGCATCTGTAAAGAGAAAAAATAATTTTGTTTAGTATCAATTTAAATAACCCAAATGAAAGATTTGTTATATAATGTTCTTATGTAATTAAATAAAATTCTCCATGATGCTAGTAAGAATTTTCAGTTTGCTGCACAAGAGTGCCTATAGAAACTAGAGGCTGGCCACTTAAGGTAAATGCTGACACAGAGTACATGGGGCCTTGAAATATTTGCTACCTGCTCGATCTATCTCATTTAGGCATATTTTTCACATATGCAGTCTCCCTGGGTGGGAAGAAAGCATCTTTTGATATCCAAACATTAACGGTTTCTTTTTAAGATCTGTGAAATATATTAGCAAATTAGTTATGCTAAGTTCTTCCATGAGCCACAAATTGAGTGATATTCTTTTGAAATGATAAAAAGAGAATGCTTCAGATCCAGAGATTGACTCCATACTTTGAAAGATAAAATGACCTACTCATTACCACAACTGGTGTAGCTATTGTATGTCTTCTCTGTCAAGTGATCTTGGAAAGCAGTGATGTTTGGAAAGTTAAAAATGTCAGACCGTATATTTAGTGTACAGAAGAGCAATGTCCTTGTCCTCAGTTGTATGTGGTACACCTCAATATTCAAATACTGAATGCATTCTAAAGAAATATTTTTAGCATGATACAACAAACTAAAGAGAGAAGATGAGGTGTTTAGCTGATAAGAAGTGTGAATTATCACCTAAGTAACTTTTGCCAGAAAAAAATCCCTTCACTTTTTATTGTATTTTTCTTGTTTACAAACAATAGGCTATATAGGACATTCAAGGACAGCAAATATTTATACATGTTGATGGAAGCCTGTCTAGGTGGAGAGCTTTGGACAATTCTCAGGGACAGGTAAGAAATTTTAGGATACATGCCAACTTGTGAATTGTGATATTCTAGAACTTCATTCTTAGTAAACCATGCTAATATATGGCAGAGACCAGGTCTTCGGCCCTCACCAGGTTTTGTTTGGCACAGGACCCAGAAAAGGTGAAGAAGGGTAGAACTAAATCACACTTCTTTCTCTGCCAAGTCCTGCAGAAACATAATGACCCCAATATAACTCTGAGTAGCTCAACAGCTGATCTATATTTCACTAACAAGAGCAGAAACCACTTTACTAGCTGACAGTTGTCTTCTGCCACTTTGTCATGCTCTCTTTAAGAGAAGCCTACTTCACCCAAACCACTTCAGATTATTTAAAGAAAACAGAGCCAGGAAACAAAATCTGGCTTATAAAGTCTGTCCATTCTGTGCACAGAATGAGGAAGGAATCCTGTGGAGAAACAATATGTGATCATGTAATTAAATGATAATTCATATATACACGAGAGCTATGTGGAGGTTGCACAGACAACTTACATTATGATATTTCCTTACTTTTGCATGCTTGCCTTCGTTAGTTTAATAGTGTTTTTTTAAGATATGCAGTTTGTATGTCTGAGAGAGAAGAAGAAAGATATAGACACCACAAATAAGAGGCAGAAAACTGTATGATAAATTAACTTTACACAGTATAGTAGCAATATAAATGTGTGTAGTTTAATTTGTCAAATTAATATGTCCTGAGAGAGAACATCTAAGGAGATGGAGCAGAAAATAAAACATAAATTTGATATTTTACTTTTCCATAAGTATTTTTTTCCATTATTCTTTTTACTAAAACGGGCATGTCATCATTATTTAAAAAGCACTATAACATCAACATTGAAATCAGTTCTTTTCTGAAGATTTGTTGAATTTAATTCTGTTCTCTTTAAATTATGGTATCTACTGCCACCTAGCTTAGAAGTGCCTTTTTTTTTGTTTCAGCTAGCACAGCTGAAGCAATTTTGCTGAGCTCATTTCACATAGCTTTGTATTCACTTCAAATGAGGGGCAAGTGTTTCACTTTTTAAAATAGTTTACAGATTGGTCATAACATGACGATTAAAATTTATTTTATGTTAAATTTGAACTTAACATTTTTGATTACTATAATAGTTTCCATTACTAGATTTGACCCTAAACTAGGATTTAAACAAAGCTTTCTGCAAATTGATTGAGAGTAGTTTCAGGCTTGATATCAGGAGGCATTACTTTACGGTTAGACCTGCCAGGTTCTGGAATGAGCTCCCAAGGGGAGGTGGTGCTCGCCCCTATCTTGGGAGTCTTCAGGAGGAGGTTGGATAGATATCTGGCTAGAATATTATGATCCCAGCACACGTTCCTGCCCAGGGCAGGGAGTCCAACTTGATGATCTGTTCAGGGTCCCTTCCTACCCTAGAAACTATGAAACTATGAAATTCAGTCTGTTAAGTGCTAGTTACATGTGTGTAAATTACTTTTCTTTTACACGTGAAAACAAGTTGGCTAATGTTGAGTTTCTAATTAGGAAAGAGCTTCCAATTAGCTGGATAGATATTGTATTAGTAAGATGAAATTTAGTAAGACTGGCTACTGCAGATAAATCTTTTAGTAAGAAGAAGAAAGTGTGTGGTTCAAACTGTTGCTATAAAAGTTTGGCAGATAATTATTAAATATCTAACCCACAACTTGCTGGATTGCTAGATCTCATAATCAGTGTGAGATACTGATGTTCTTTCTTTTCCCAGTTGAATAAAACATAAGGACACCATACAAAAAGAAACTATCCTTATTCCTCTCATTGAAATTGTAAACCTGCCTTCTACAAAGTAACAAGAGAAACAGAAAATACGATTGTACAGTTGTTTCATAGTATGGTTTCTTTTTGGCAGCTAGTGGGTTCCTACAATCATATCATTAAATACATTAAATGTACTCTCTTGGCACCACAAGCCCTTTAGATAGCGAGACAGATATAACCTGTTGAAAAATGTGGTTTCATAGAAAAATCATTTTGAATTATGATTGCATTGTAGGGAGCTTGATCTTGCAAAGTGAAATGAATGGGACTGTTTATGTACTTAAATTTAAGCACTTCCTTGGAAAATTGCCAGTGTTTAAAAAGTTCCAAGATTGAGCCCTTAAAATCTAGCAGTATAAGTTATTTCCTGATGTTTAATTTTATTGCTATAATCTTTGTGACATGCAATAGTAGTTCAAACAGATATACAATATTAATTGCAAATGATTTGAATACTGTGCTTAACCTTTTCCATTTTTTTCTGTATAGAGGTTCATTTGAAGATTCTACAACCAGATTTTATACAGCATGTGTGGTAGAAGCTTTTGCCTATCTGCATTCCAAAGGAATTATTTATAGGGACCTCAAGCCAGAAAACCTCATTCTAGATCACAGAGGTTATGCCAAACTGGTGAGCACTTACATTATCTTTCTTCAGAGCAGAAAGAAAATATTACTGTCATGTTCACTACCCTACAGTTAAGGCTCCATTGCCTTTTCCATTACAGAACTCCTATTCTGGGGAGTTTATAAGTCAGCCATAAAAACAGTGCTTTTGGCTGAAACTTGCCATTAGAATTCCAATCCTTGAGCGAATTGTTTTTAGAAAGAGAATGAGGAAAAATCAATCTAGGTATCTTTTTAGTTGTAAAGAGGCAGAAATTGAAGTTTGATATAGCTGTTGTAAAATCTGGGATCTCACACAAATCTGCTACTGAAGTGTTACAGGCTCCTAGTATCTCCTATGAATAATTTGCTTTTTGTTCTTAAAAAATGCTGATTTGTTTTATGGAGATACCACACCTTTGTTATCTCAAGAAATTATCATTATCATTTATTGTTTTGGAAACCTGACCTTGTGCTGTTAGAGTCATGCTAATATGAAATGCTGCTTCAGTAGAAGGTTTGTTCCCCCCCATTGTAAGTAACATTTGGATTTTTTTTAAGGCCAAACCTATAGACAAGGGGTTGGACCCCACAAATACTTGATCTTAGAGGTTACCTTTAAATCATCATAAAGACACTTAAAACAGGAGTAGTCACCTGTTTAAGGGTATTAACCTGTGCTAAATACCCTTTAAACATTCTAAAGTTATGCCAATTCAAACAATGATTATCTTTGATCTGTTTTACCCAGATCATTCTGGGATGTCATTAATCTGCCTTGGGAAGAGAAAAAGCTCTATTTTCTTACTTCCAGCATCCCAGGATGCAACATTTTCAGCCCTTCCCACTGTTTGCTTTCTGGGCAAACTTTCAACCGTTCTGAACTCTGCTGCCCAGTGGGGTGGTGCTGGCTCCCTCTTGCCCCCAGGGAGTAGAATATGTATGTATCAAGCCCACTGGGTCTCATCTCTGCCTTGGGGTGGCTTGCGTGCAGTGAGATCCCTGGGTCTTAGCCCAGCTTTAGTGTGGCAGTCAGTGAGCTCTCTCTGTTTCAGCTGTGCTGTGGTGCAAGTGCTAACCTACGTCCCCTCTGAAACAGTCCCAATTCAGTAGAGGTGCACTGATACATCGGTCCATACCATATTGGCACCAATAAAAGCAAGTTGACATTATCGGCAATCAGCGTTTTTGGGCTGATGTAGCCAATAATGTTGCCAGTAAGTGCCATGCATGTACACAGCTGCAGCATGCACACAGCCAGGAATGCAGCCTGACAGCATGGAGAGCAGCATCTGGTCGGTAAGCCTGTGTGGGGGAAGGGGAATGGGGGAGAGAAGGGACATGGACAGGGCAGATTGAGGCCCCCACGGTGAGGGAGGGAGTGGAGCTGAGGCACAGGGGCAGGGGAAGGCAATGCCCAGCTAGGGCAGGGCGGAGGCAAGGCAGGGTCCAGGATGGAGTTAGCAACTCATCTGACAGATGCGGGGGGGGGGCAAGAGGGGAGCTCCCACTGCACACATCCCTGGGGGAGGCATGGGGGGCACATGTGCCCCAGATCTGCGCATGGGGCAAGGACAGGCTGCCTGCTATGTGCTTGGGGCTGATTCTGCACTGCCCTCTTCTGGGGGGCTGCACTTGGACTGGGTTGGGTAGGATGGGCAGCGGTGGTACTGGGGGGGACTACAGCAAATTTTGGGGTGACTGTAGCCCCCTCATGGCCTCCCCCCCAGTGCTGCCACCACCCACCCTGCCTGGCCCAAGTGCAGCTGCTGGAAAGAGGGCAACACAACCCTGGCCCCCAGCATGCAATGGGCAGCCCACCCTTGCCTCACATACAGATCCGGAAGGGGGCATATGCATCCCATCCCTCCCCAGAGGTATGCACAGTGGTGGGATCTGCCTCCCTGCAGACCCTGGATGAGCCACTGGCTCTGTCCCACACCCTGCCCTGCCTTGGCTGGGTAGCGCCTGCCCCTGCCCCTGCCCCAGCCCCAGTCCCACTCCCTCCCTCACCACAGGAGTCTCCATCTGACCCCTACCATGTCCCTTCCTTCCCCCATGCCCTTTGACCCCAACAGACTTACCAGATAGATACTGCTGTCTAAGCTGCCAGACTGCATAACAGCAATTGGAATGGTATCAGCCAATATGGGTGGTCAATAATCAGCCATCAATATCAGCCAAAAAAATCTTTATCGGTGCACCCCTACAATTCAGTGAAACACATGCAAGATTTTGGTCCCTTATTTATGTATTTATTTATTTTAATTCCTTTCTCTTTACCTCTCTCCCCTGCCCATTCACATTTTCTCTCCACCCACACATTGTTCCAGCTGGCTCCTTCTGAATGTGGGAAGGAAAGTCAGTCCCTGGAGGGAAGCCACACCATACCAAGTTATATGCCACCCTCCCCATACTCTTCCACCCCAGAGGAGGGATAGAGTTCTGGCTCCTTCCATGCCTCTGCTCACCAGGCCCTCTAAGCTAAGTACAGACATTCAAAAAGCCTGAGCCTGAATTGATTCAATCTTTGCAGGCTAGTCTAACCTGTATAGATTGAACTAATTTGCAAGAGAATAGACATTCACTTTTAATTATGGAAATGCAGCCACATGCCTACAGCTAGAAGCTGGGGGAGGGGGGAGTGCAAGAGTAAGCACCCTGCCCCCTTCCCTTCAGGCTGAAGGGAAACTGAGCTGAGAGGGGATGTGGCCAGACCCCAGCAGGCTGAGTATGACTGGGGAGGGGTTTAAACTTCCAACCTGGCCTGTAGAGACCCCAGCTGGGGTCTGCCTGGTTTCCCACCTCCTCCCCCATGCCATGCACAGGAGTCTGGGACTCCCAAAGCCCCCCTCCCAGCTAGGGGGCAATCCCACAGCACCTTCCAAGCTACTGAAGCTAGGGTTCTGCTTTGGGTAGCCCAGAAGCAAAGGCCAGATTGGAGGAAGGGAGGGGAGCAAAGTGGCCTCAGCCCAGGTGGGAACCGGCACAGAGGTGGCGGTGGCTTGATCCTGGACATGAGCCCCACCAGGCACATGGACCCACTCCTGCCCTGCCTTGTATGACCATGGAGTGCATGGTGGTGACACGCAGGGACTCTTGGAGTGGAATGTGAGGCATCCCAAGTTCTGGTCAGTCCCGTGTGCTACCCCAGAGGTGGGGGCCAGGGTCTGGGTTTGGTACCAGGGTGCAACCGGTGCAGGCCACTCTGCTCCCACAGGCCCCACTGTTGCTGCCAGTAAGGGCTGAGCATACATGGCAGCACTGCAAGGAAGTGGGAGCAGAGCAGGGCAGGGTGCCTGGATGCTCAGGCAGGGCCAGACCCATGGGGAAGGACTTGAACAGGCCAGGAGCATGGATCACCACTGCTGCAGGAGGGAAGTGAGCCTGGACTGACTTGTGTGATCCTCTGCTGCAGCTGCCCAAGCTTGCAGGCATCATTGGACCCCTCCTCCTGGGCCACAGCTCTGGTCTCCTCCTCTTGACCTGCTCATGCTGCCCTATAGCACCTGGGCCTTTCCTGCAGCTGCGGGCTCTTACCCAAGCCTGCACAGTAGGAGCAGCGACCAAAGCAGGACACACTGCTAGGCAGCACTGGGGGTGTGGAGCCACTGCCTGCTGGGCACATGCGGCATAGACCGAGCTCCAGGAGTAGCCCCTTGCCCCACAGGCTGCAGCAGTGCCTGGCCAATGCGTAGGATCATGTCCAGGCCAGGCCGGAGACATGGCTGTGCTGAGGCCACCCTGCCACTGGTACATCCTGACCATGCACCATATCAGCTCTGCTCCTTGCTGCCAGTTCCTCTGGCCACTTCCAAGGCTCTGGTGTGGTTGCACCTCATGCCCTGCCCAGTACCTGGCAGCCACGGCCCACCACATCATGTGCCCAGCCTGGCTCTGCTGTCAGTTTCCTCTCCACCTAGCTACCCTACCTTCCCCCACACCCCGCTGCATTCACCACTGGAGTGTAGCAGTGAGGCCGGCCCTGGTCCCTGCAGTGGTGCACATAGTGTGGGCTTTCCACTTCAGCCTCAGGTGCTGTTACCTGTGTCCCCCAGCTGCCGGTTGCTGGAGCATGCACTGCTGACTCTTCCCGTACCTGGCAGCAGTGCAGTACAGCCACCTGTACCAGGTTTCAGGCATGGGATACTACCCCTGTGGATTCCCCACTGTCACTGCCACCATCAGGGAGCCCACACTGGTCATACTGATAGGCAGCAGCTGCTGGGCATGCGGACGGAGGCAGTGGGGAAGCCACAGGGGTAGTGTCCTGTGCCTAGCACCTAATACACAAGGCTGTGCTGTGCTCCTACCACCAGGTAGGGGAAGAGTCAGCAGTGTGCATGCAGCTTGGCATCTGGCAGCCCAGGGGATGCAGATAACAGTGCCTGAGGGACGCAGGTAACAGGGGCTGAGGGGGTGAGCTTGCACCATGCATGCCACTGCAGGGTCCACGGCTGGCCCAGGCACTACTCTCCAGTGGGTAGAAGGGGCTGCTGGGCAGGAGCCGACACACTCAAGTCCCTTTCCTGATCCCCCTGCCCCCAGCCTGGGACCCTCTGCTCAGCAGAGCTCATGTCCAGGATGAAGCCACTGCCACTGCAATCCCTCTGTGCCTGTCCCCACCTGTGCTTGGGGCCATTTTACTCCCCTTCTCCTCCCCCCACCCCTGCAATCTGGCCTTTGTTCCTGGGCTGCCCCAAGTGAAACCCCAGCCCCAGCAGCTGGGAAGGTACAGTAAGATTGCCCCCCTGGCTGGGAGGGGGTCTCTGGGGAGCCCAGGCCATGCTGAGCCACAAGCAGGGGGGGAAAGCCAGGAAAAGCCCATCTGGGGTCCCTGCCAGTGGGATGGGGTGGGAGGGGAGGAATTAAAGCCTTCTCCATCCCCATTTGCTTGAGGCTACTGCTGGGGCTGACCATGTCTCTGTCTCCCCACCACTCCAGCAGCAAGGGGGGTGGGGGAATGTGTCACAGGCTGCTCCGCCCCAGCCAGGCACACCCCAGCTGGAGTGGAGTGGGGGGAGAGGGGAGAGAGGGGGAATAAACCTCCTCCCTGCCCCCTTCGCCTCAGAGGCCCATGCCAGTCCAGCTTCTGGCCACAACCCCTGCCTTAGAGAGCAGAGGGGTGGAGCCTGGAACAGGCAGCACAGTCCAGTCCAGGGCTGCAAAGCATGCTGGGTGACTCTGATTTAACTTAAACCAGAAAGGGGTCTGGGAGAGGAGTTCCATAAACCAGTTTGACCCCAATCAGTTAAGTCTGATACTACATTCAATCGGGTATATCTTAAACCAGTTTCAGCCATTTTGAAACTGGTTTATGTGCACTGAACTTCTGTTCTGTTACAGGTTTAAACCAGTTTCTGATCACTTAAACCAGTTTGTATGTAACTTCTGTCCCTAGCCCTAGTGGCAAGTCACAGTTGTGCAGGTCTGAAATGACATTAAGACTTCATTTGTGACAGCTCTGAAACTTTTCTAACTTTAAATCAGCATAACATTACACAGATTTAAAATACTTGACAACACCCTTAAATATGGGCTTAACTGTAGGCATGGATGCATTCCCATTGTTTTCAGGTAATCCTTTAAGGTCAGTGGAGCCACTTGTACTAAAAATTAAGCATGTGTACCACTCTTTGTAGTGAATGTGAACCTGAAGGTCTCAGTGGATACTTTCATTTTCAGCAGATAAACTTGTATTCCACTGGTAGCCCTTAAGCAAACCCCACTGAAATACTTTTATGTGTTAAACAAAGAAGAAAATATGGCCAACAAAAAGTATTTTTCTTGGACTATGCTCTGCCTAAGTTGTAAATGCTATGAGTTCTTCAGATGGCATGGATTACCACATAAAGTAGAGAATTAGGATGAACCACAGAAGATGCTTATGTTGACCTAAACTGTTGTCTACCTTTTGTTCTGTCCTAAGTAAACTGAACTGAATAGTTCATTATTCCGCTAGAAGTTGTGTGTTAAAAGAAAGAATGTGAGCAATATAGAAATCCCCAATATGGCTTAAATGAAGCAGATCATAGATATAAAGGGCTTATTAAAGTAGCTCTGTTAATCACTAACCATCTATCAAGAGACATTTGGATCATTATCATTTGCTCAGTTTAAGAGAATCTTCACTGTATATTACAAAAGTTAATCAAGAAAAAGTTGCTATATAGTTTTCTGTTTATTTTAAACAACTCTGGACACTTTGATTATGATGAAATTTCCATGAGGAAACCTTTATTTCTGCTTTGATTCTCTGTACAAAAAACCTAAACACGTCACTGAAATATCCTTTATTTCTTTGCCTTGATAGAATTCTATTTCTTTCACAGGTTGATTTTGGCTTTGCAAAGAAAATAGGATTTGGAAAGAAAACATGGACTTTTTGTGGAACTCCAGAATATGTAGCCCCAGAGATCATTCTGAACAAAGGTCACGACATTTCAGCAGACTACTGGTCATTGGGAATCTTAATGTATGAACTCTTGACTGGCAGGTATGGGCATTGGAACTAGAACTGCTGATAAAAATAGATCAGCGAATTTCAAAATATTTCTGCCACTGTCACTTTGATTAGGACATTGGAAGATTTGGAGCTAGCATTGTTGTAATGTTGTAATGGCATAGAATTGTTTGATAAACCAAATAATTAGTTTTCCAGTTCTGCAAGAGGGGAAGAGGAGCCTGGTGTTACCTCGCCCCTATCCTTTTGCAGTAACTAACCTCCTTCTGCAGGTCAGGGAGATAGGTGCGGCTCAGTAAATTGTCTCTTAACTAGCCTCAGTCAGTCAACAACAGATTTTATTTCCACTCCTGACTGAGACTAGCTGATCAGCTGCATGACAGACAGGGCTAGAATCATAAAATCATAGAAAAAGAAACATAAGGAAGCACTGACATGCAAGTCACAATCCACCTGCTGTAATATTTACATAGCATGGAACACACTCCTTTTGCCTATCAGTGTCAATAAGTGTTACAGCCACAGATTAAAGAGGGAGGAGGGTCTTTAAAGTTATGATATAATGCAAAAATATAAGTCCGTTTTTACAGTTATCCAGGGCATTCTGCAGAATTATTTGAACAGGTTTCAAAATGTTTACTATAATATCTGTTTTAGATACAAATATTAAGAAAATAACGTGAACTAGACATTTGAAACTTGTTTCCATTTACACAGAGTTTCCCTACAGAATAAAGATATTTATTGAAACATGTTTGGGGGCAGAAGAAGAACACTCCCCAAAGTAGGAACAAAAGTGTTACAGCCATCACAACAAGCATGTCTTAGATATAACATTACAAGATTGGATGAGGCAAAGTGATTGATTTATTTCAACTTAGACCATTCCTTCCTTCACTGTCAGTTATATCCTAATTACTCCTCACTCAAAATTGAGACCATCCAGGTTTATTAATGTAATGCTTATGTACAATGTGGAACTGATGGCAACCTTTGGCATATGTCTGGAATTAGGCTCAAACTCCTGTTTCTAGATCCACATCAAGACATATTAGCCATTTTACCACATTGCCCCTTAAAACATATAAAATAAATCTGAATTTCACTTTCAGCCACTGAGCTGCTGTTTCAAGGAGTTTAAAATAAACTAGGTTCTTCCTGAAAAACATATTCCAAATGCATCTTATTAAAGTAATATAAAATTCCATGAAGAACTACAAATATTGTATTTAATATTATAATATGTTTAATAAAATTAACAAATGGAAACTCCATTCTGAGTCCTATACCTTCCAAAATATCCCTGGATGACTACAACTTATTAGAAAACCAGGATTCTATCCTTTAATCTACTTTTGCACTGAAGGCACAACAGTCTTTTGTACAATTTCTCATGAATTAGTAGAATTTCTTATTCTAATGAAACTCTGTTCCAATAAGTTTCTTTGAAGGTTGTCTAATATAACTTCAGGGTAATTTAAATTACAGAATACTTGATGAAATGATTTCCAACACTGAAAGAAAACAATTAAGTTACACTATAACTAAATATTTCCATTTTTTTAACTGTCCAAACCATACATAATCTGTGTTTGTAATTTATCTATCCCTGAAATAAAATTATAAATGTGAGACTTGTTTTTTTTTTCCTTTTATGCAATGTCTATTGTGATATTAATGTTATCCTTTTTTGGAGATATTAATGTTATCCTTTTTTGGAATATGCTGATAAGTTTTTCTGCCAAAGAATCAAACTCTAGCCTTCCAATAAATATTCTGTATTAATTCTGAATTTCACATATCTTTTGATCTTTGAAAGTATCATGATTACCATGTAGTTTATAATACTATGTAGTAACTACATATATTTAAAACTACATATATTGGAAAATCTTCTAGACATTGTCCAGTCTATCCTGTAAATCATTCAGTTAAAGTTCTTTCATTTTATTTTTCAAAACACAAATCAAATAAGGGATAATTCTTGGTCTTCTGCACAAAGTTCAAACAACAGACTCACCAAAGAAGCTCTCCATGAGAGTTGGAAGGAGCAGAATCTTCACGTCATCCTCTTCCACAGCCACACTACTGTCTGCTGTCCATGTGCATTTCCTTTGCATTAATCTAATCCAGTCATGCACCCACTACCACATGTACTGCCACATGTACAGCTTCACCACTGCCTGTTCTAACTGTATCTTTGTTTCTTTAGAGAAAACAAACAATAGTCATAGGGGCAGAAAAATGCAAAACTATTACATAATGAGTCACATACAAAATAAATCAAGGATTTGGAACTTGAATTTACCCTCTTGTTCCTCAAGCTGGCAATATGGGAAACTGTATGTTTAGTCTATGCAAAGAAAGGAATATCTTATATCACATTTTAGTCTCCTTTTCTGGACAACTGGAGCATCATAAATGAAATCTAGATACAAGCAATTCCAAAATCTCTTAATTGGAGAAAAGGTTACTAGGGCTTGGACATTTGAGGAGATAAGATAGGAAGCATCCTAGAGAACTCCTTAAAAATATAATATAAAGTATTTCAGCAGTCCCGATTTAGCTCCCTTTCCTTCAGTGTTCCTAATGCCACAGGGGGATAAATATTATTAGCCATATCATGTCATTGCTTCCCTTTGCTTCATCATAGGCTGCCATGAAACTACTTTTAAGACCTGCCCTTAACTTTTACCTTCTCTCTTCTCTTCAAGTCCACCTTTCTCAGGCCCAGACCCCATGAAGACCTACAATATCATACTAAGGGGGATTGACATGATTGAATTTCCAAAGAAGATTGCCAAAAATGCTGCTAATTTAATTAAAAAACTATGCAGGTAACAAGCTTAAACTTATTAAAGAAAAAAAGTCAGAAAGACAGAGAAGAAGATTAGTAACTTACTTTTTTGCTCACTTTTTAGGGACAATCCATCAGAAAGATTAGGAAACTTGAAAAATGGTGTAAAAGATATCCAAAAGCACAAGTAAGTATATTTCATAACTATTGGTTACTTCATGTGGAAGAAATACTGTTTTCAAACAACCTTATTTTTTAAGAAAAATCAATTGAAATATTTTTCTTACTTCAGATTATTTTGCACTGTGTTAGACATTTTATCACATTCTAGTCTCTGTTCTGTTCTTTAACATGCAGCAAACAAGGTGATACGTGGAGTGAAAGTACATACTCAGACACACAGTAGTATTCTGAACCTTTGCTTATCCAACTGGAAGCTTTGTTCTGCTGACTTTTTAGAATTCTGTAACAAACTTGTTCTCTTTTAATTTTTACTTTACTAATATATTCACTATTGAGTTTAGTATGGCTTTACATAATGCATTATGTGTTAGCAGTTCCTTACAAGATGCTGCAGTTTCACTTATCTGAACAATTTCATTTATCTGAAGGGCTTTAGTGGTTCTTTCCAAAGGGGTTTAGATAACCAAAAATGTACTGTATGTCCAAATGGCAGTCTGCCCCACAGTATTCAGAATCACCATTTACATTAATCCCTTTATATTTTATTCCTACTTCCTAAGGTCTTCCTCTATTTTTTTTTTACTGGGCCTATACCTATAGTATTCTAGCAGAGTTGACATTTCTGATTTCTCTGACTCTTTTGAATATAATAGAATACAACATCTCACTGATATTTCACTTGCTCTGTTTGTGCCCAGGAAGTTGATCTTGAAAGCAGATTTAGTTTGTGCAAATTTCACTCTATTTAACATAACTCTGTTGTTATAAATTTCAGGTAAAATGAGTGGAATGCTAAGCTATCATCAGAGGACTGGTGGTGGAGGGGTCATATTTGTCAGGAAGGGATGTGGGCAGTGGGGTCCACCAGGGCTCAGTCCTCGGGCCTGCACTGTTTAATCTTTTTATTAGTGACTTGGATGAGGGGGGTGAAAAGCACCCTGTTCAAATTCACTGATGACACCAAGATCTGGGGTGAGGTGGGCAAGCTAGAAGGGAGGGACAGGGGACAACCGGACCTGGGCAGGTTGCAGGGGTGGGTGAATGAGACTAGGATGGGATTCAGTACTGACAAGTGCAGGGTACTGCAATTGGAAAGTAAGAATGAGCAGCATACCTATAGGCTGGGGAACTCCCTTCTCGAAAGCAGAAAGAGATCTTGGAATCATTATCGATTCCAAAATGAACATGGGCTGCCAATGTGAGGATGCGGTCAGTAAGGCCAACTGCACCTTGTCATACATTCACAGATGCATCACAAGCAGGGCCAAGGAGGTGATCCTCCCCCTCTATGCGACACTGGTCAGGCCGCAGCTGGAGTACTGCATCCAGTTCTGGGCACTGCACTTTAGGAGAGATGTGGCCAGCATCCAGAGGGTCCAGAAGAGAGCCACTCATATGATCTGGGGACAGCAGGGCAGACCCTATGAGGAGAGGCTACGGGACCTGAACATGTTCAGCCTTCACAAGAGAAAGCTGAGAGGGGACCTGGTGGCAATCTACAAACTTACCGGGGGGACCAGCAGGGAATGGGAGAGACCCTGTTCCCCCGAGCACCTCCCGGAGTAACAAGGAATAACAGCCATAAGTTGTTTGATAGTAGGTTCAGGGTGGACATTAGAAGACACTGTTTCACAGTCAGGGCAGCTAGGATCTGGAACCAACTTCCAAGGGAAGTGGTGCTGGCTCCTACCTTGGGTGTCTTTAAGAAGAGTCTTGACAATTACCTAGCTGGGGTCATATGAGCCCAATATTCTCTTCTGCAGGGTGTTGGACTTGATGATCTACTTAGGTCCCTTCTGACCCTGCATCTATGAATCTATGAATCTATGACTAAATCTTGCTTTTGTGCTATGCCATGGAATAATAGCATGGTTCCTTCACCAAATTTTCCTTCTTCCAGTAGTGTAACAACCTTCTAGTGGCCCATACAAGTAATTTGTTGTCCCCTTCTACAAGTAGCAGCTCAGCTGTGCTCTCTGGAATTTTTCAAGGTGGGAGCAAAAGCTCCCTGTGCACCAGATTTCTGAATAATAATCTTCTAAAAATGCTGTCTTAAATTTGAGTAAATAGACATATATGAATCTCTTATATAGTTTGTATCCTTGAAAGTGCATGTTTATGCAATGTTTTGTTTGTCTGTTTGTTTTTTGTAAATTCAGTGCCTGAAAATTTGGGTGACTTAAATTTAATGGTATCTTATATTCAAAGGAATATAGGATTCCTCTTGTGAGAGGGAGACCCTTGGGACCAGGTAGAAGGTGAAAAGAAGCTGTCCTATAGTAAAGAGGTGTTACCTTGCAGCTTTAGCAGTTTGGAAGATAATCATTGAGTTCCATTTTTGGGTCACATGTAATTTTCCTGACACTTTAAAATGCTTCTACATTACTACATTTGAGTCTGCATTGAAAAAGTGTTTAGATATTTGACATAAAAATAATTAATGTGCATTAGACAATGTGAAGAATATATCCTCAGGTGTGGAAACTTGGTCAGCACTTTGCCTTCTAGAGTTACATTTTAGCTTTTTATCTAACTATTTGATTTGTTCTCATATTTACCTCTTTATAGATGGTTTGAGGGCTTTAACTGGGAAGGCTTAAGAAAAGGAACACTGACACCTCCTATAATACCAAGTGTAAGTACAGTTCTTAATTCTAAGCTTTCCAGTCAGTATATATTTTTTGTCCTCAATTGTGTGGAGTTCTAGTACAGCTGCACTATACTAAAGAAGGCAGTGGCATGCAGAGAAATTTGTCTGAAGATACTTGCCAAAGATCATTAAAAATAGGTCACTTGAGATGATTTTTTTATTAAGTTCAAATGTGTTTTGTCTCATGACTGTGTCCTCGTCAGGAGGCCCTGTGATGAAATGCTCTTTCCAGCAGTTAAAGTGGAGGGAAGTCTGTCGTTACTCGCTAGTCAGTGCTTCTTTCTTTCTACATGACTTGTTTCTTGATCTTTCCACATTTTCTCTCTATTTTCAGCCCCTGTCTGTATGATCCCTTTGTTCTTGCTTTTACCTTGTTGTTTTCTTTCTTTTGAAGGGGTGGGGAGCAAGGGCTGTCAGTACATACCCCTCTATCTTCTTTGTGCTAACTTTCCCTCTCAGCCCTGTTTCCCTTTTCTTATCACCTTCTATGCCTTTTTCCTTTTTTCTGCCCTCACATCTTCTATGAAGAGCTTTTATATTATAGTCCATTACAGCTAAGTGGAAGTGGATTCTGAATGGAAGAGGTTACTGTTTCTAGTCAATTCCTTTTTTCAGCAGAGCTCTTCATTTGATGCCCTTCTGTGAGCTCTTTATCAAATGAGCAAAGAGCCAACCGCAAAGAGCAACTGAACTTAACTGGTTAGGATTGCTTTGGTCCGTTCTGTTGAATTGGTGCCCCTTCATTTTACTCCCTTTCCCTCCTTCTTCTGCTGCAAGATCAGTATTAGAATGCCATCAACAACTATGCTTAATTGCACTTTCCTGTTCATTACAATTATGGAGCCAAGCAACACAGGTAAATTGCCTGGCTCAGAAAATGGTGATTCACTGAACCAGGCTGGCCCTATTTTGTCTTTGTGTTTTTCAAAACTGTGATACATGGAACTGTTGAGGGGGAGGCACTGAGTTACACATATTCTCTATAATAGGGGTCAGCAATTTTTGGGCAGAGTGCCAAAAACACCCACAACCTCGACTTGTAAGTTGCTGGCGTGCTAAGGGCAGATGGTGGGAGAGACATGAGGTGCCAGTCCATGTTGTGGCAGGACAGCCCCAGCCCCTTCCCTGAGGCACGTGTGCCAAACAAAATGTCTTCACATGCCATGCTCTGGCATGCATGCTGGGGGTTGCCTAATAGGCCTGTGCAAGGCGGCTAGTGTTTGCTTTGTATTTGAATTTGTCTGATTTGAGAGACAATGATTTGATTCAGTGATTTGAATCACTGTCCCAAATCAATTTGGCCGAATCTGATTTGGATATTCAGCTGCTGCTGAATCAGCCAGATCTTTGAATTGTACAGGCTCCATCCCCCGCCCACTCTCCCAGCCCTGTCAATGGCTGCCCCACCTGACCCCAGCTCCTGGATCTTTGGAAAAAAAAAACCCAACAAAACCCCACACTCAACAGCTCCTGCCAGGCAGGGGATGATCCCTGCTGCACCCTGCTGCCCTGTGCTGTGTGGGGGGCTCTGCCATGAGCCCCCTGACTCCCCCTCCCAGCCCCCATGGCTGCCCCGCCTGGCCCCAGCTCCTGGTTCTTAAAAAAAAAAAAGGCCCACACTCACCAGTTGCTGCAACAGCCTTGGGGCTTCTGGGGCCCGTGACAGAGCCCTCCACACAGTGTGGGGCAGTGGAGATGGCCCCCCTGCCAAGCAGCGACTGGTAAGTGGGGGCTTTTTTTTTGTTTTTTTGTTAAGAGCCAGGAGCTGGGTGAACCAGAGCAGCCATGCAGGGGCTGGGAGAGTGGGCAGGGGATGCAACCTGGCAGGGGTCGCCCGATGGGCCCCTCCCCACTTGTCCAGTCCCCCCTCCCCTGCCCCCTACTTACCAGCATGGAGTCTGGGTCCAGCTCCCTGTGGCAGGGAGTAGGGACTGCCTGAATCTCCAAAGCTTTCCAAATCTTTTCCAAATCAATTTGGGGAGCTTCTAATCTATTCAGACCTTTTTATTGGTCTCCTGATTCAATTCAGATTCAGAGATTCAGCTGCCAAATTGGGCTGAATCTCTTCCAAATCAAATCAGCACCTGAAGCTTCGCACTGCCCTATTGTCTACCCCAGCTCTACAAGATGGAGAAGCAGTGTTTAGTCAGTGGCTGAAATCAAGATCCTGCCAAAAAGTTACCTAAAGTAGGAGACACTAAGTGTTTAAAATGTAATATATAAAAATCAGATTTCTTTACCTCCATTACAGACAATTGATGTACATTTTAAAAATAGAGTTAATAAATATTTTACTTCTGGTCATCATAGCTCTGTTTGTACAATGTAAACAAACTAGTCAGTTTTACTCCAGTTTATTATCAATTCCTGTTAATTTTATTTTCTGGCTCACCTGTGCTATTATAGGATGCTATAATGTTTAAATGGAAAACATGCAAATAAGTATGTTTTTAAAAAAATGTTTCTGTTGGGTTTTTAGCTTGATAGAAATATTTCTATGGCTGTTTTGTAAATATTTTTTCCATAAATATATAACTCATGACAAATTCAACTTCACAGTGCCCTATGAAGCAGTGTAAACTATAAGGATAGTGTATGATTGTCCCTTAAAGCATGCAGTCACCTACTAATGGTGGTTGAATTATAAACTAGTGCAATATACAATCTTTAGTTAAACTGTTGTGTGTACTTAGACATCAGAGGTTCCTCTGGGAAATATTAATTGCACGTGCAAATAAAGAGCAACATGAAAATTGGGGTTAAATTCTGGGTTTCAGTTGAGCAGACATCTTTGTATCATCCAATAATAGTGGCCCTCCTCCCAAAGTTAGACTATGGCAATGCACTTTTCAGGGCCTGCAACATCATGGAAGATATAAAAGATAACAGTATCTTTGATAAGCAGAAGTTTGCATTGGCTACCTCATATTTTTCCAGGTAAAGTTCAGGGTGTTGGTTTGAGACCTGCCTAACTGAGACACCTCCCCTCTCCTCACCATGTTTTTTCAAATGCATCCACAGCTGAGGTGCTTGAACCAGTGCTCTTTTACTATAAAAGAAAGGGAACTGCCACTGAGATCTTCTCTAATAGGTCTTAAGTTTTGTGATTTGTCTTGTCCATAAACTGAAGATGACAGGGTATGTTTTAAATTCCACCTTTCTCTCTCAGGCTTTTGGTAAGAGGGGAGCATAAAAATGATGGTATTTATGAGTTTAATGAAGTACTCTGGAAGTATGGTTTGATCTTTTAAGTGTTGTGGGGTGGAATAGGGGTATAGTGTGATCTTATGGGTTTAGTTTTTTTTTGGTTTGGGCAAGTTGCTGGTCTGTTTTTGTATTCCTCATTTGCTTGTGTGTATATATTAATTATGTCAAATGCACCTACAATCCTGTATAACGAATTTATTTTGGTTGTAAAACTTAATAAACAATAAAAAGCTTAGCAGTTGTACCCTTTAGATTACAGTACCATAAATGGACAAATGTGTGTAGGTCATCTTCCTCTGAAAAGTTTTATTAAATGATCTGGTCAAAACCCAGAATATCATGGAAATAACATTTTGAAATTTAGTTTGGTTCTGGTTCAGAAAAAAATCATTTTCTTCAAAATGTCTTTGAAGCCAAAGCACTATTTCAGTCCAAAGCTGCTAGGGCTCACAGGGTGTCACTCCAAGGCAGAACCCACCTATTGGGCCAGGAGCCCCAGAGCTTCTGAACTTCTAGATCAGATGGCAACCAGGTCTGTGTACTCAGAAACAGGACAACCTCTGGAGCCAATTAGCCCAGCAGTCTGAAAACCCTGGTGCCTTACTATGCCAGGTCAGTCTGTGTGACAGAGCTCCTGGAGCTATAGGACTTGGAAGCCCACCCCAGGACTCATGGCCACTGGCTTTGTAGGTTCCACTTTTCAAAGAAGATTGCTTAGATGCTCTAGAATGGTAGGACTTCCCTCAAGCTTGCAAGTGCCTGAGTTCTCAGCCAGGACAGTCTGCATATCAAGACCACCTTAAAATTATGCCCAAAGAAGGCCCTCAAATCCCCAGCCATCCACCAAAGAACTAGGTGGTGTTCTGTTACAGTTCTGCTTGTGATTCAGTGAGAGTTGGTTAAATGCAAGACATTTCCAGCATATTCATATTCCTGACCAGCTCCATTACCTACTTAGCTCTGATGAATTTTACTACAGGCAAATTTTTAGATTGATATTTGTTACAAGGTCAGAAAAAAAGGTGTGTTAAAAATCCTAAAGCAAAACGATCCTTAATGTCAAAAAGAAAGTGATGTCAACAACATAACTCTGTTCATTTAACAGGTTGCATCTCCAACAGACACAAGCAATTTTGACAGTTTCCCTGAGGACAATGATGAGCCACCACCTGATGACAACTCAGGATGGGACATAGATTTTTAATGTATTTCTCTTACCTGCTTCTGCCTTGCTGAAGACAGCTTCCTGAGACATAGCTGCCAGCAAAACTGAAGGAATTGGGGAGGATCAGTGCTCGGGGTCACCATGATGCCTTGATTGATGCTGCTACAGTAACTACAGTGGCATTAGGACTTATTGCTTAGATGACAATAGTGCTCTTCACACATTTTATGTTTGAACTTAAAATAGCAGTTGACATGGTGGTCCTGAAGCAAAGCCTTTTCACTGGTACAGAAATATGTTTTCTATCACTGCAATGATCTTGATATGCTCTAATTATAATTTGAAAGATAACTAGTGTAAGGTACACTTAATTCTAGCTGCAAGGTACTGGCTTTATCAGTAGGATCAAATGATAATGTATGAGGTACTAAAGATATCTATGGTACAATATCTGGGGTATTCCCACACTTCAAAGTGAATATATAGGGTCTTTTACTGCAGGCCAGTGTATATACAAAGGAGGACCACAAAACTACTGGTCAAATGGTTCATGTCAAAACAGTGCTAAAAGTTGTTCTTTTTTCAAGCAGTATTCATGACAAGACTGAATGTTTTACCTTTCCTTTTTCTTTTGGACAGATTTTTTAAATTGATCTAACAAAAGCACAACTGCTATAGGTTCTGTCAAGGCTGGTCTGGGTTGGTTCTCGTGTGACTGAGAACGTGATGTAACTAATGGTATTTTTTCTTTTGGTAAAAATGCATAATTGCATGAAAAAATCATAAAGTTATTAATTTTACATGTAAGAAATAAATTGTGCTTAAATAATGGTCCTAGGAATAAAATGACGGCAGCCAACTGGTCTTATTAATTATGTACAAGACAGTAAAAATTAGCTTAAAATAACTTACTTTGTTGGAACCCAAAGGGAAAAATACAAGTCCTGTAATATACTTTATAGGTGCTATGTACATCTTTCATCTGTGAATCTAAATGTTCAACCATCAACAACCATTTCAGAAATATGTAGCAAGAGACATCACTTTCAGTGATGATCTTAGAACAGAGAACCCTTTAAATCTCCTCTTTGGCATCTCCTCCATATTTATTCTGCAGTATTTGAGAATCACAATATTCTTATTTTTTCTTTAAGAAATGATGATACTGGGGCCAGCTTGCAGGTAACCTAGCTGTATTTTTATTACTACATCTCAAAAATGTAACTTAGTGATTTCCATCATGACAGCATTATCACAGTGAGTTTAATAGGCTCGGATACAGCATGAAATTCAAATGTCATTCTAGTGTAAATTGGGAGAAACTCCATGGATATCAGTGGAGTTACTAAGTGAAAACTAAATATGAGACCGATATAGATCCACTGCGTGAGACTTAGTGATGTCTGAACTTGCAATCTGCAGATGCTCCATCATTAAGTTGAAACATTAAAATGGCAAGAGTTAGATCACTTCAAACTATTATGAAAGAGGTGGGAAACAGATATTTTGACCTAAATTCTTCTCTCACTTCCACTGCGTTTATAACAATATAATTCCATTGACTTCAGTAGAGTCACTCATGATTAAATTGGTGTAAGTGAGATGAGAATCAGATCCTATTTGCCTACTAATCATGTGTGTTAAACCAAATGCCAATGTATTCCTTCATACCTATAAGAAGCATTTTTGTTACAATATTTGTAATATATTTTAGCAGGATCTCATTGTGTTTGTGCTTCATATTTCTTTACACTATGTTATGAATCATGATGTCAAAAGTTGTGACTCAATGTATAATCTGACACCATGTTACTACAGTAGAAACCATTAAGAGCTCAATGTTTGCTAATCTGTCACATAGGTAAAATGGATATTTCTTGTTCTAAATTCTAAAAGGAAGGTAGTGATATTCCCAAAAGGCACTGTAGTAACTCTTGGCAAATGCTATTTTTAAAATGGTGGTCACTGTATGTTTCTGAATGCATAGACAATTTAAATACAGACATGATTTTTGGAAACATAGGAATTGAGGGTCAGATCTTTCTCCACTGAAATCAATGGAAGTTTTGTCATTGATTTCAAAAGGAATGGGACTGTAATGAAGATAAGTTTTAGGCTTTTTTCAAGTAATTCAGATTTTTGTCTTTACCTGTAAATACAGGAGAAGCAAATAAGTCATTCCACTAATCATAAATCCCTTATTACTACATTTTTTCCAGATTTTCATATCCATAATGACTTATATAGGTTTAATAGAGCATTTAAGATATTGTCAAATAAGCAGAATAAATATATCAACAACATGTCAACAGTTTGCCAGCAAACTAGAGCGCCTCACTTACTGTATGTCCCTTTAACTTCAGTCTGTTTCATTGATTTTTCTTTTTACAGTTATAGAGAAGGATGAGGCAACATCATCAGCACAATGTAACTTCAGGTTATTTCTGCTATTCATTAATCATGTATGGCATTGCATTGATATTTGTACACCTTGAAGCAATCATAGAAAAATAATTACTACATATACCAGGAACTACTTGTATACAAGTATAACATATACTTAATTTTAAACATTTAACTTAAGGATTTAAATACTGTCTGACACCAGACATTAGATACTAGGGCTAAAACAATCACATAGTCATCTTAGTAAAGAAGAAAAAGGTTAATTTCTGCATTAGAGCTGACTTTTTTTCCCATTACTCCCTATTTTCTGACATTGAATGAAGTGACTATGTTGGACAATGAAACTTGTTTAATTTGTTAACTGACTTTCTTGTTATACACAAGCAGGTGAACAGGATGTTGCTCTCTGTCTCTATTATAACTATTTGTTTTGATTAGTACTTGAGATTCAATCATCAGTTCTGAAAAACTGAAGAATTCCCAAGAAAAAAAAGTTTCACAATATTTTTTGGGTGAACTGAAAACATTACATGGAAGAATGTTATAAAATTAGCTTGTTGGTTTTTTTGTTTGTTCTTATTAGTTTTGTCTTTGTGCCACAAACAATAATACCTGAATCATGTGGCATGCACTGTATTAATACAATTTTTTTATGATAGAGAACACCTTAAATGCTCATTATCTTTACCAAGTGTATTTTAAATAATTTAACTTGCATAAGTATATTAATAAACCATTCTTTTATAAATAATATATTTGATTTACATATATATTCACCTATTTTGATTGCATCTGTTTCCATTTACTGTTTCTTATTCTTTGTCTACTATTTAATATATTGGAAGATGCTGTATTTACATAAGAAGAAATCAGCTACCATATTTAAAACAAGTGTGTTAGGATTGGTTTCATAAGATACAGGTGATCTGTAGCTTATTACAGTGCTACATTATCCATAGTAAACTCTTATTTAACAATAGGACCACAGCAAATATTTATGTAAATAGATATTTTCGTGTTGATATTTTGTGGTACACATATAACTTTTTATTTAGAGTTCCATGGCATTATTTACTTCATTTTCTTATTTGTAATGTAATGTTTTTAGATCAAGTAGACTTGAATTAATGTCATAATTGTCAGTATTATTGGATTTTTATGCAACTGTACTGTTATTCATCTGTCCCATAGTTTAGAACATGACCTAACTATTTGGCATTGTTGCAAGTGCCTTAAATCCATGGCATCCTATAAAAATACAAATTTGGTGTTATGCTGCATGACAAAGACAAACACACCTCAAAATGTTGTCCTTTCTTAGCTTGCTGCGTTTTACAGTTCTTTCTGCTAACAATTTATAAGCCTTTATTATATAATATTGATGAATTACAGAAATGATGAAGTTGTTCTCTTATTTCTGTTAAATGTACCAGAGCTGTGTATCTGTTAATGAGATACAGCGTCATTTCTGTGAAATGTATAAATGTATGTGCAGGTCAAATTAATATATGACATACTATCAGTCTGTATACAGGTATTCCTGTTTTGCTAAGCTGTGCAGATTTAAAGTATAGTGCAGTAAAGTTCTAACATATCATATTTTATAAACTCATTACAAGTATTCCACACAGAGAAATGATTGGCAATTAACTGTAATTTACACCAAACAAAACTGCATCTTACCATGAAACCAATGACTATGAAAAGGAGTATCTTGTTGCACCACTCAACAAAACAGGATCAGTGCTTTCTATAAGTCCTTGTATATGCAAATTGTTTCTGAGGCAAGCTCTTTTAACACACCTGGAAACCTAAACATTGAAAGTGTGTTATTAGTTCTCTTCTGTAACTGTCCACTACAAACAGATATAGTACTGAGACTCTGACAATTTCTCAAATGTTTCAGGCTTTCCTAGCAAAGGGAAATTTCATTCAGAGTTGCCTACCATACTGATTCCAATGTATGCTGTTTTTACACTGGTCATTTCTTTTGTATTCTTATGGTTATATTTCTCTAGTTTTCTTTTTACAATGGATTCTACATGAAAGAGGGTTTTTTGTTTGTCAAAGTATGTCCATCATAAAATGGTCGGTGACCAGTTGCACTCTTTTGATGTAGATTTAAGAATTTTTTTTCATAACTGCTTTTGTTTTGCTCTGTATTTTCCCTGCAGCTGTAATTGCCGAGTGCCTGTTGTATACTTTATAGAGTTGAAATAAAAATAATTACTTTTGAACATTGTTTTGAGGTGTTATTTGATGTCCAATTAGTAATTTCAGAGAACTGTATATCAGATGGACACCTAATCATATTTTAATATCCTATTTTATTAGGATACACCATGACACAGTTGTTGGAAAATACTTCTGCACTGAGTGCTCTTAAGGCACTTGATATACATAAATTGTCATCTAAAATATATATGGAGTAGCCATACTGAAAAAAACGAGATATCCGTGGTAACTGAAAATTGGTGTTTAATTTGATAAATATGCTAAATGATATCTGCATTTATGGTACCACCTATTACTGTATATGTAACCCAGGTGGTACTCCAAGAGGTACCCCCTCTCCAATTGAAGGGATCAAAGCAGGTGCACAAGAGCTGTGGGAGGTGTTGGGACTCTCCTCCTCCTATAGAGCAGAGCCAGACCACCAATGGGGACTTAACCATATACCTTTTAATAAGGGAACAATACTGGGAACATAACCAGTATAAACCAGGGGGTATAGGGGACACTACAATGCCCTGAAGGGGCAGAATTCAACAAAAGTTAGACACTTACAACCATAGACATATTCATCCAGTTGACAAAAGACAGCGTTAACCAAAATATAAAACACAAACAGCAGAACAAAGAATACTGGTTGGTATTACTGGAAATATAAAAGGCACAAAATGCAAATGTTAAATGCCAAGGAATATAGAGCCTAGGTACCTGGACGGGGAGAAAGGGGGAAAAACACAATGGCCCCTTTCCACTGCAAGAGGAATTTTTCCCTGTTAGTTCACTCACCCCAAGTCATCAAAGCTGGGACTTGAACTTGGCTGTCCCATGTGGTAGGCAAAAGACTTCACCACACAGCCACCAGTGCTGGCACTGCCTCCAGCTGCTAGGGGTCTTGACCTTCCCAGAGCTCTGGCATCATGTCATGCTGCCTGGCCTCTGATTGGAGGAGCTGGAAGCAGAGCCAGGAACCCCTCAGGTCACTGCTCAGATCCTTGCTGGAGCCGGGGAGCCTCACCTGCTGGCTGCACACCGCACTGCTGAAGGTCCCATTGCTGCCTGCAGGTCTCACTCCCCAGGCTCTTCTGGGGCAACTGCTCCCACCCCGCTGGCTCAGCTCTTTGCCAGCTCTTTCAATCTCCTTCCTTGTGGTCCCTCACTGGTTTCTCCTGAGTCAGCCACACTGCCCCTTTTATCTCCCTCCAGGTGACCCAAGGGGCCAGTCAGGATACATGGAGGGTGAGTCTCTGGGGCCTGATTGGTGAGGAAAGGGAATCCCAAGTCCTCCAATCATCTTTTGCCCCTTCAAAATCCCTGGGCTAGGTCACTGCCAGCTAGTCCATCACATGTATAATTAGTCATCAGCTGTAAAAATAATCTATCTGGATTTTACTATTTGTTTTTCTGTTTTTATAAATACATACCTTTTGTACATACTGGAATGTAATACATTTTCCAGAGAAGTAATTGAATCCAAAAGATGGTGTCTAATGGTAAACCGTACATATGCTAAGAAAACAAAACAAAAATGGTGATGATAATACAGAAAATAATACTCTGTATTTTACTATCCCTCAAGGTACATATCTAAGGACAGTAACTGTTTAACCATAGATAGTAGGAAAGGAAAGTGAGCATCGCCTTAAACTTGCCCCACCACAAATTTGTAATAAAAAGCATAGACGGATGCAACCTGAGTTCTGTAGTGCATAAACTGTAAAGAGCTACTTACCGTCTGATCTCATCTCAGTAGTAAGTATAGATCTTGCAAAATGATGGTATGAGAGCATGTTAGTGTACAACAAGATGAATGAGTACAATAGCTATTTTTCATAAACATGCTTAAGTATCTCCCTTTGCAAATCATTTAAGCATCTGTGTATAATCCCACTGAAGTCAAAGTAAAGCACACACTTAAATGATGTTCTGCAGAAAAAAAGCGAATATTGGTGAGGTGAAATAAAGAATAAGTTTGACAATTGTTCTCCTTTGCCCTCCTGTGCCCCTCCAAAGGATACAGTTTGGGAACAGTTGTGTTTGGGGACTTACTGGAAAGTATAATGACTGATGTTTGGGCTTCAGTTTATAAACTGAACCCAACCCTTTCATTAAGTCTCTTAATTTAAATATCTTTGAAAACTCTACAAAAATAACCCCTTTTCCCACCCCTAAGAAACTATAAAGTTGGTAAAAAAATACTATATGCCGGTCACTTAAATACAGCCAACTGCTGTCAGCAGTATTATAGCAACAGTCCAGAACATGAAGTACAGAAGAATACATGGTTTCATTAAACTACAAAGACAGTTTAGAGCAGTGTTTCTCAACCTGTGGGTCATGACCCAACAGTGGGTCACAAGAATATATTAAAGGGTTGTGAACAAACTTTAAAAATGGATCAACAAATTTTAGAAATGGATTCTCCTTTAAAGGAGAAAACTGTGTGAAACCATGGCTTTCCCCTTGCAGGCTGTCAGAGTTCCAGCCTGCAAGGAGCTGCTTGGGGGCCCCCATGCCCCACACATACCCCACCCTGTCCCACACATCCACCCCTTGCCCCACATACTGGGGGCTGGGGCCTGAGGGCAGTAGGTAGGGAGTGAGGGGCACTGGGTTGGGACTGGCCATCAATATTTACAAATGCATCCTGGAACAAAGAAGATTGAGAACCACTGATTTAGAGAATCAAAACATAGTCGCTGGAGTCTGACTTTGGCCGGGGTTGACACTCTTTTATGCTAAAAAATAACAAGAAGTTACCACTTAGCCAATGTCTATACAAATTATAAGAATCTTTGTATCACTTCTTATATGAAAAACAGTACCTCCAGTAACACGACTGAAAACACCATGCTCCAACATGGTTTATTACTGACTCATAGAGCAATGAATGCACTGCGTACACAAGGTCCTATAATATTTGCATTAAATGCTGCTTCAAGGTTTCCCCTCCATTATTGACCTTGCTAGGTCATATTTTGCTTTTCAGACCTGACAATATCAGAGCACAAAGAAACAAAAATATAAACACTGTACATGAGTAGTCAGTTCTATAGCTCTAATTAAAGGGTTGTACCTTCTGAAATAAACACTCAAGCCTTAAGGGAATTAATATTTATGATCTGCAAAGCTTTGATGAACATGGTACTATTGTAGGATTTTTTGTCTTGTTTTACTTTCAAAACCATCTTTAAAACCATTTTCATGCTGATGATACTTTAATGAGCATCTAACGTTGCAAAGGATATGAGTAAAATGAATAAACTGCATTCCCTGGTAATGCAGAGATACTGTTCAAAGGAATCAGAATGAATTAAGCAAATTGGCCAGGTGGAAGGAAAATTAAGACCTACTGGAAACCCCTCCCACCCCTCCCAGCCATTAATATCATCATCACTGTGATAGATGATTGCCTTTATAACATTAAAGATATCAGTCCTTTGAGCAATCTTTTTAACAGAGTTGGTCCTGCTTCATCTACTCTACAGAAGCAGTCAGGCCCTAAGAAACTGATTTTAAAATGCCACTAATAAGAAAAGGGGTGTACTTGGTAGCTGTGTTGGTCTGAAACAAGAAGACATACACAAAAACTAGAACTCTTTGTTCCAAAATGATACCTTTTATTAGACCAACTGGGAAATCGTAAGAAAATTGTCCTTTTCTAGAAAATTAACTGTGTTACCTTCCAAATTTCATAACCAAAAGAAATAAAATGTACTCTCTTTCCTCCACACACAAGATTTTTTGGACTTCCTTCTACAATCTGCTGAGGGAAAAGAAAAACAGTTTAGAGAGAAAGAAGACAACTACCCATGAAAAATAATCATAGAAAGTATGCCTTTCCCTTAGGAAAGTGGAGCACTGTATGAAGCATAGGAAAACCTTTCAGGGTTTTGACCTTTCATATTCTCTTACTCTAGTCTGCAGTGGCATAGTGACTTTGGGGATAGTACATCAATATCAGGGCAACCTTGCACAGTGTTGTTCTGACGTTCCTCAACACACGCTAGGTCTGTAATATATTATTGCTGCCGTCCTCAGGACAGAGTTTCTAGATTCTAGCATAAATAAGTATATAAATCACTAATTGCTGCAACCTTTGTGTTTCTCAAGGTTTTATGTTTGTTTTCCTACTTTGCCGCAGGAATAAAGTATGGTAATAAATTTCCTCTTATTTATGAGACAGTACCCCAGCTCATTACAGAACTAACCTTTACACTTCAGCAATTAGAAAGGAGGCATATAAAACTGGTCCCAGATAACCAGTTCATTATAACTGTTTGTCAAGCTTCCATTTCAAAATTATCAAATTTAGCTACATTTTCTTTTGTGTACCTGTCCCTTGTCCTCTGTCAGGTGGAAGTTCCTGAACAATATTTTACGATTCTGATCCCAGTTTCTTACCATTTAAATGCTTCCATAATTAATCTTTGAACAATGATACAGCATTCAGAGTTTAGAGTGAAATGTCATTGCCCCACAAACTTAACTGGTCCCTCTCAAACTGTTTGCAGGACCACCCTGTAGCTTGGAATGCATTTTTCAGTTGCAAACAGTGGGATTTTTTCAGAAACACTTCTGAAGCCCAACTCAAGGTTTTTGCATTGCGGGATGCTTAGCTCGGCTCTTTGCTCTTTCGCCACCTTTCCAAGTAGAAATGGAACCCAGTGGCTTGTACCTGTCAGCCCTTTAGGCGAACTGAAATGGATTCAAGGATATCTTTACAATAATTTTACTACCATATTTAGAAGAGGCTGGTGAGATTCTCCTTCACATAGCTGTTAGGGTGACAAAGGCAGGGATGAGCTCTGTGATAAAACGCTTTTATAAAGTGCTACAGTAATTGTTAAGAAGTGCTTTTGGCAGCCCCTGAACAAGAGGGCAGAAGACCCTGGAGTACATGGATTTAGC